GTCAAAAGTCTGGACTTCAAGATATTGCCGACGAATTGGGTGTCAAACGGGTTGGTATTGCTCATCAGGCGGGCTCCGATTCGCTTGTCACCGGCGAAATTTATTGGAAGATGCGACAGTTGGTCTTCAACGGCAGCATTGACGAGTCCAAATACTCTGGACAAATCTGGGGGCTGAACGGTCAGATGCCAGCGTTACTGTATCAGATGTCCCATCAGACGCCCAATCTCAACGGGGCTACGATCTACTCTGCTGCTGGCACGCCGAGCACACCGAATGCCGGTACACCCCAGCACCAGGGGCTCGGCGCACTGACGCCTGGCGCTGTCGGCGGAGTCTTGGGACAATTTCAAGTTGGGAAAGCATGAAAGTCATTTAGCTAAGATCTCATTTGTCAATGGGTGTTAGATTTGGTTGGGGGAGTTTATGATATGCTTTGCATCATTGTTCCTCTGTATCTTTCCCTTTTGTTTGGTCTCTTTGTATAGGCTTTGTGTGTCTGAAATCTTCCTGGGAACTGTCGAGTGGCTTTTCCCTCTCGGGAATGTTCTCCAGATCCCTGGACGCTATTTGTCTCATTTACCCTTTACCTCATTCACAGCGATTGCTTTTGTCTCTTTCTCATGGCGGGGGGTTGCAGGATGGATACGATATGACGGATGTACATAGCATGTCGCACTACGGCGGTGCCTCTATCTCTTCTTATATTTTTGAGTCGCATTTTCTCGTTGTTTAGGTCTCACATTTCACGGTTCGTCGCCTGAGATGCTTCACATTGTCTGGGAGACGGGGGTGTTTGCGCAGGGTGTACGGTGTTCGTTATATGGCTGGAATATGATTCTCGTTTCACAGGCGCCTCGAGCCCTTCCTTCCCAATTGCATACTTGGGTTCCCTTCTATAGCCGTAGCGATATTATAGGAATGTATGTACCTAGTTTCTGTTACACTACGAATTGACAGATTAGCATATCATATCCGACAGAACACGTCTCCAGTCGGCGGATCAACGGCCACCAAAGGAATTGGACCCTCCCTTGCGTGGACAGTGTGACCTAATTGAAGACCATCTGTCATGATAGAAGTAATGATATCCGATTGCTTCCCCGCTTTCCAACACGAGTCTCGATCCGAGTTCCAACGGATGCTTTCCGCTGCTGCTTGAGATGCACCCCGCTATACCAGATTGGGAAGGGCGATCCGGGTCTTATCGCGTCATGGCGCTTATCGGCTTCCCCAGATTATCAAGTGAGGCAGCTCAGTGCGTTGCGAAACCCAGTCATGCTGTAACTTAAAAAGCAAGGGTCCCCCCTTCTTTGCCATGGACAGTTTCTTCGCTGTGGTGTGTCACTTTCTCAGATTCTCTCTCTAGTTGTGGGTTACACCGACATTGATACTCGGGGACTTTAACCAAACTATATAACCTGGTGCACGACCTCCTACTTGAACTTCTCTGATAATCTCTATACAATCATCCCCCAACTATTCTACGACTTACCTAAACCATGGTCCTCGACCGGCTTCAGCAGCTGACCTTGCAGGTCAGCGCTTCGTCTCCGCCTCCTCACCCTTTTGACCCCCTCTCAACAGTTGAGATTGATACCGCCGTTGCTCTCGTCCGCGAAGCACATGGCAAGGTCAACTTCAATGCCGTCACTCTGTGGGAGCCTCGCAAGGCAGAGATGATGGCCTGGCTGGCAAACCCCGAGAAGGCTCCCCGTCCTATGAGAGCCGCTGATGTTGTTGCTATTGCGCCTGGTGGCAAGATCTACGACGGAATTGTCGACTTGGACCAAAAGAAAGTCATTGAGTGGAAGCATACTCCCGGTGTGCAGCCCTTGATTACTATGGAAGACTTGCAAGAAGTCGAGCACATTGTTCGCAAGGACCCCAAGGTTATTGAACAGTGTGCCATTATTGGCATCCCGAAGGAGGACATGCATAAGGTGTACTGTGACCGTAAGTCTTCCCGGATCAAACGGAGCAGAAGGGGACTAAACCCTGTTTCTTGGATCAACTAACACATGTTTAGCCTGGACAATTGGTTACGATGAGCGTTTCGGTACCGGTGTCCGCCTCCAGCAAGCCCTCATGTACTATAGACCCCATATGGATGATTCCCAGTACACGTATCCTTTGGACTTCTGTCCCATCTTCAATGCCGAGACTAAGCAGATTATTCACATTGATGTCCCACCAGTGCGGCGGCCACTCAGCAAAGCAGCCCCCAACAACTACCACCCCGCAGCGATCGAAAAGGAAGGTGGATTTAGGACAGATCTGAAGCCCATTCACATCACCCAGCCTGAGGGTGTGTCTTTCACAGTCAATGGGCGGCACATCGAGTGGCAAAACTGGAACATCCACGTCGGCTTCAACTACCGTGAAGGTATTGTGCTTAACAACATCACTTTTAATGACAAGGGGAATGTTCGCCCTGTTTTCTATCGTCTGTCACTCGGAGAGATGGTGGTGCCATATGGAAATCCGGAGCATCCGCACCAGCGTAAACACGCTTTTGACCTTGGCGAATACGGTGGTGGATACATGACGAACAGTTTGTCTCTTGGATGTGACTGCAAAGGAGCAATTCACTATATGGATGCCGCGTTCGTCAACCGCGCTGGAGCTAGCACCATCGTGAAGAATGCCATTTGCATTCACGAGGAAGACGCAGGCATTCTCTTCAAACACACCGACTTCCGGGATGAATCCATCATCGTCACCCGTGGTCGTAAATTGATTATTTCCCATATCTTCACTGCTGCCAATTACGAATACTGCGTATACTGGATTTTCCACCAGGATGGTACCGTGCAATTGGACATCAAATTGACTGGTATTCTCAATACCTATGCAATGAACCCTGGAGAGGACACCAAGGGTTGGGGTACTGAGGTCTACCCAGGTGTGAATGCGCACAACCACCAGCATTTGTTCTGTCTGCGTGTCGACGCCAACATTGATGGACCGAACAACACGGTCTTCCAAGTCGACGCTGTCCGTGGCGAAGGTGAAGTCGGAAGCGCCGAGAACAAGTACGGTAATGCTTTCTACGCCAAGAAGACCAAGTTCACCACTCCCCTTGAGGCCATGTCCGACTACGATGGCTTCACTGGACGGACTTGGGAGATTGCCAACACCAACAAATTAAACGCTTACAGCAAGAAGCCCGTGTGCTATAAGCTGGTCAGCCGCGAGGTTCCCCCACTGCTCCCTAAGGAGGGCTCCTTGGTCTGGAAGCGAGCTGGTTTCGCTAGACATGCCGTCCATGTTACTAAATGTAAGATTACCCACCCTAGGCCTCTGCATGGTTATCGATAGAGACTAACTTCTATAAAAGATTCTGATGACCAAATTCACCCTGCTGGTCGCCACGTTCCTCAGACCTCCGGTGAACCCTCTCAGGGTTTACCTGCCTGGATCGAGGAGGCTGGCCCGAATAGCTCCATTGACAACACGGATGTTGTGCTGTGGCACACCTTCGGACTGACGCACTTCCCGGCTCCTGAGGATTACCCTATCATGCCGGCAGAGCCTATGACATTGCTTCTCCGCCCTCGTCACTTCTTTACTCGCAATCCTGTACTGGATGTGCCTCCTAGCTATGCTAGAACGCCGTCTCAAATTGCCGCTGGTTCTTCTTCCTGCTCTTGCAAGAAGAACGATGGCTCAAGCGTTTTGGTCTAAGTTTCTGCTCTGTCCTTCATCTTCAATTTGGCATCATGGCATTACTCTGCGGCGGTTCTTCCTGTTTTGGATACCTGCGATTGGCGTTTTCTCTTGTATATAGCTTTGGTATCATGTAAAGCTTCAATAAACAGTTTCTTTATTCTGACTACTGCTGGAATTTGTCTTTCTCTTGCGCTACCTTCCTGTGATAGATGTTCGTGCACTAGGATTAAATTATTCATTGACCCTACTCATGGAAACTAGTATGTAGCTTCTATTATCGACTTGAGACACAGCCTTGCGCAGGGTTCCACAATAATGATCCTCCAGCCACCAGGTTAGGCTAAAGTTGTCCTTGTCAAGCAAGAACCTGCACTGCGCTGTCAAAGCTTTGTCCAGTCATATATGGTAATTATTCGTCAGATAAACGCACTAGATAAATACCATCTGCTATAGACACAGCCCACTGATACCAAAAAGTTGACCCCAATGACTCGGTGCCAGGTAAGCGCTTTCTTACTCTATGGGGTATTAACATCATCGAAGGCCTAAACAAAGCTGCGGTTGCATGGCTTGCCCTCTTGGTGATGCTCTCGAGTGCATTGTTGGGGTTTATATACTCACTCGCTTCACATGACGTTTCTGCAGCCTTCACGTTAGCGGCGTGGTTTGCGACTTCTGCTTCTCTTTCGGTTACGTATTTTCATCTCAAAGGATGATTGTGGAGGATCTCAATAGATTCACGAATATCTCACGAATTCCGTACCTTGCACTAAATGACTCTCTTGCAGGCTATTCTACTTCCACGGTCATGTCTTTCATAGTATATTGGGATATAACCAGTCCTATAAAATAATAGAAACAAGCGAAATCTATGGTAGCGATTTACTTATTCAAAAAGAATATTTTACTGGGTTTCCAATCTTACATAATAAGATAGCTGTATAACGCCAACCCCTCGATGGCCCTAAAATTGCCGTGTGAGGCTCTTACAAGAAGATAAAAAAAGTAACAAACCTTATGATTCGTCGGAGGATACCCCTATCTCCCAGACTTAGTACTACCTAAAGGTTCCCAACTTATCCTGTGCGGCTCGATACCAGAAACCAAAGGAAGGCACGTTGGTAAAACCCACACCCTCTCGTCCATGATAGAATTGCCAATTGCTAATAGAACTTTAAGCAAACTGTTACGGCCAGTGAACTACGATAATGTTATGTGCCAGTGTAATGTGTGATTTAGGATAGAATGTTCAAATTAGCTATCCTACCCTATGTAGTTATGATTTCCCCAATAACATGATCAAAAAGCAACAAAAAGAAAATCCGAAATCACTGAATATCAACCTGAACAAACTCCTTCTCAGCCGTCTCATCCTCAATCTCACATTCTTCTTCCTCCTCCCCTTCAGTATCAGACCCATCCGGGGTCGACAATTCCTTCTCAGCATTCACCATCTCCACCTCCACCTCATTGCCGTGCTGACCTTCCTCCCCCTCAACCCTAGGCAGTACAACCTTCAAAACTCCATCCTCCAATCGAGACTGGATTCCCTCAACCATAGCGCCATGGGAAACTGGTACTTCCCTGTCAAATGCCCCCAAGTGACGTCCTCTCTCTCCAACCAACAGAGTCCTATATAATTCCTCATCAACACCAGGTCGATGCACAACACCAGCGATCCGAAGCATAGAGCGCGAAGCATCATATCCAACACTCAGATCCGACTTTTGAGCTCCAGGTAGCGAAGCATGAACGATAGTTTGGGTAGCTGTAACAAAGACATCCACTGGAGGTGTGAAACTGGCTGTGTCGCGTGAGTGATGGTGTGCGCGGATGAGAGGGTGTGTATGGTGGAACTTGTCAAAATGATGGAAATCTTTTCCTTTTCCGTGTCTCTTTCCTAGGCCCCGTCCATGTCCTGGACCTCCTCGGCCTTGATGGTGGAACTTTCCCCGAGAGTGAAAGTGGGGGCCTGGACCGCTTCGTTTGTGGTGAGGGTGATGGTGGTGGAAGCCAGATTGGCCGGGATGGCCGGGTCCGGGTCTGTCATGCTTAGTCCATGGGTTGAACCCATGCTCAGGTTCGAGTTCATGGTCAGAGTCATGTCCATGGGGATGGGGGTGGAATTTTCCATGGCCATGATGGCCAGCAAATCCAAATGCATACGGATGGTGATGATGAGGATGGTGAGGATGATGACGACCTCCACGACCACCACGGCCGCCGAATCCAAACCTGGGCATTTCAGGGAATTCATCATCTCCTATATCCTTCATACCCTTCCACGGTTTATGCATCTTGCCTTTGAAGTGCTTCCCATGTCTCTTCTCAAAGAGGTCCTCATACCGAGGAGGATGGTGGTGAGCAAAGAAGGGATGATCCTCTAGCATAGAGACATCCATCTCCCATGTTTGGGGAGGTTGATGGAAATGGCATGAATATTTCATGTTTGCCAGTTTGAGTCGTATGATTGTATGTTTTGATTGATCTTGAACTTGTAAGATCTGTTTGTGTTTGGCCAAAGATGTCATTGTCTTATTGCGATATTTATACCTACGCAGGCGACTATGAGTCAGCTTGGTATACGTATATCATGCTGATTTGCCACCTAGGCAGACAGCATATGTACAAATCACAGATGACGACGGAGTCATAGATAGATGGTAGCTGAGGCTGAGGTTGAGGCGTACGTACAGCTCATTACCGAAAATGGGAATCATGTCCGCGAGGGAGGCGAAAACTCGGACTTTACGTTCAGTGTTTTCCCCTATTCTCGGGATTATCCTCGGAGATCTGGCTCGGAGATAAGATGCTTCTTTGGAAAGACACACATCTACTGTTTAGAGATTGAGAGCAGGCGATGATCAAGGTGCATTCTTCGCTAGTTTGAACTCTCGCCTGTTAATAACTGTCTGGGCTGTTTTAATTAAGGCAAAAAATACGGAGTTTATCTATACACCACAGATATGATTAAACCTTTAGGGTATTCTGCGTGCGACGAGAAATTCTTCCCAGCTTGTGCCGAGATGTACGGAGTAAATGTGCTCGATTAGGGTTATTATATCTTCTATCGGGTACTTACCAGACACCAAGCTTCAGTTAATTGCATGGCATAACCACAATCTCAGGATGTATTACCTAGCTGATAGTACGATGCCCCCTTTTAACTAGTTGGGCATGGGGTGCAAGAAGTACATCCCCACAAGAATAAACAGCATACGAGCCACTTGAGAAGACAAATCAAGGAACTATAAAACATAACCGGATCAAGGCAACTATTTTCGTTACCGAGGAGCGGTGTAACCGAATGAGATTGGAATATAGCTTAGCGGGGATAAGTGCGGCTATGGCAAACATGGGAGTCTCTACCTGAGAGGTGACGGTCAATGTTCATCTCTAGAGCAAACAATGGTATGTCTCCTGCTATATTGTTGGCAGATGAGGCTTTGGGGGTAAATATTAAAATATCTTCTACAACCCGGGCTTCCTGAGTTATGTTTTTGTTCATCAATGCTAACGATGCTCCCCTAAATGCTTATGATACCCCGGGCTAGATGGGCGGGGAGTGAGTCCAGATTCATTATATACTAAAATTATACTAATACTTATCATATTCAATACTATTAATCCAGTTCACTCCTCTCAACACCCATCAACTCATTGACCTCAGTGGTCTGCCTTTCGTCTCGCGTCCTGTAGTTCTCCGATGACAGCTCTGAGATAATCGTGTCTGTGTGAGATCCGCGCACATTCTTGGTAGTATTACCTCCATCTATAAATCCACCAGGTAGAGGAGTAGTACCATCAGGATGCCATACCGGCTCAGAAGCTTCCGGCGAGTTTCCTCTCAATCTTTTCCGCCGTCGAATAAAATGGAACAGCCCTACACCAAGGGCCACTAGGAGAAAACCCAATGGAATACCTAAGCCGATGCCAATCTTCGCAGCTGAGGAAAGCCCGCCACTGCTGTGTTCAGCAGATGGGGTTGCAGCAGACACATCCGTGGCTGTAACCGCACCTGCCGACTCAGTTGAGGACGTTGTTGTCGGGGTCGAAGTACCAGTCAAAGATGAGGCCGAGGTACTGGCAAAATGGTACGAGGTCGGCGACGGATCATCATGGTACCTCTTCGCAACTCCAAAGACAACACTAGTTACATTGTCCTGGCCATCAGGCTTGCCCAGAGAATTCAAAGACTCAAGTACAAAGTAGCATCCGGACTCCTTATAGATGTCCCGATTTGCTATCAAGACATAACTGTATTTATTCACGACATTCTCTGATCTCATTAGTTATTTACGGTACACAGTGCAGAACATGAGAAGACCGCTTACGTGCAATAATCCACTGTTCTCTCCCACAATATTCGTATAAAGATATCCGTGGCGTGACAACATCCCAGGTTACATTGACCTGGTCCCCAACAATAAAACGACTCCCAAACTCTGTTGGGAAAGTGAAGTTTTCGGCCGAGACGCCCTCTATCCAGAGAATCAACGCGATGAGGAGACTGGTAACAGGACCGCGTAAGAGCTGAGGGGCCATTCTTACGCTCGGCAAACGACGAACAGGTCGCGCCCAGAATAATATCATGGGCAAGAAAGAAAGAAGCAAGCTGTTGGATAAAGCAGCTGTTCTCAATCATGCGGCATAATAACAGGCCCCACCCGGCCGGATGAAAAGATCGCTGCATCGATTGCCAATAGTAGACCGACGAACCCTAGTCCGGTCGGTGCACTAAAGCAATATGACTGCGCCGCAATATCAACAGCAGAACCGAGGTCAACGCACGGGGTCATGCGCATGTAACAGGGATATCTTGACCAGGGTCGAATCGACATGGGCCACATCATCGTGTACAACGCGGGGAGATGCTGCCATAAATTCCGCATCCGCTTGTGAAACGGCACTTCAGCGATGTTTGTGTCTAGGCTATTATTATTCAGACTTATACTACATTCCGCGGCCGTTGCTGGTCAACGCCTGGCTTGTTGCTCTTGTTTCAACGTGATCAAGATTATGAAGTATCAGCCAGAGATAGAATTTACCACCTGTACATATCAATATCTTTCTTACAAATCAGAGGAACCGTAAAGTCCAAGCCACGCGCTATTCGATGAATATTATGGCCACATCATCGTACCTGAAAATCAACAAATACTGTATTGGTAATGTCGTTGAAGTAAAACGCGACTAGCCACCAGTTCAGACCTGTGCCTATCATCCTCCCAGAGTGAAAACAATGCTCTCGCAACTAGCAATCAATTCAATAATAATAATAATCAGAGTCATCAGATGAGGTTTCAGCCTTTCTGCATTGTTCGTCCATCTCATCATTGCACATTTCATCCGCCGTCTGATTCTTCTCCCTCGGAATCCAGATGTACTCCACGTCTCCTTCTTCTTTCAATCTATCGTCAAGATCAGAGGCCTGTTCAATCAGATCCCGATTCGCAACTTCGTTGCCTGCAGCATTGGTCCATCCGTTATTTGCCCACTTATAGATCCATTTTGTCATACACCCGATTGCGTATCTGGAATCTGAATATATCTTGACATCTAAGTACGGACGTGTGTCCAGCTCTTCGAGCTTTTCCAGGGCTGTCTCCAGCGCAAGAATAATGGCCGTGATTTCAGCCCGCTGGTTTGTGGGTGCGGGATATTTGGGTAAGGGTCTTGTCCAACCGGTGCATTTTCCAAATTTGTTTTTGAAAACGGCGGCGGCAGCACCGATGGCTCCTGATCGGCCGTTGCCTCTACAGCCACCGTCGGTGTAGATTTCCATGATGTACGGCATGCTGGCGCGGTAGGCTAGTGTCGAAAAGATGCGATGGACTCAAATGTTATGCACAAGATCTGTGTGGTGTAGAGGCTTCGGTATCTCTCATAAGAGTATGCGGGGGACAGATGTTCTCTAGAGCCATGCATATATGAGAGTGGTTCCTTCGATCGTTGGTGATTCTCCTCACCTCCACTGTTGATATGTTCTGTCGTGTCTGAGCTTTTGTGGAAAGTAAGCTACAGGAACGAGAGAGTTAGACAGAAGTACCCTTTGCAAGTAAAATCGTTTGGCATAATTATAATAGGGCTTTGTCCAAGTCCCTTGCGATGCGGGGAGTATGAAGCTTCAAGTTGGAACGTATGGCAATACTTATTGATCCCCGCTTAATTACCTCCTATACCTTCCCAGCCAATGAAATTATGGTCCGTAGATATGCAAGTGAGGCAGTTTCTATTCACCCAACAGTGACCCCGTCTTGTGAGTTGAGGCTTGATGAAGCGTCAGATCAGATGAAAAATAAGGTCTTGATCATTTAGAGGGGGCCTAAAGGCCCTATTTATACTGCCTAGCACACAAAGGAATCGGAAACAAAGATCGGGGCACTAGGCCTAGAACGCGGTCTGAAGCGCGTTGCCAGTTGTCAACTTGACTTGGCAGCTCTTATTACTAAGTCAAAGAGTCGAAATATGACATGTTGGTAAACCCCCGGATTATCTTCGCCTGGATATACCTCAACCAGGTAAGCTACGTAGGCATTCTAAGAATATTAGCACTCAAACAGACACAAGGTGTTTTTCTTGTTCTTCCTGTAACGGCGGGAAGCTATATAGGTGTGTTCAGGGCATTCTGAATCGTAGATTCAGAATTATGCGATCTTTTAGTCTTGGGGAATATTGGGCCCCGGCAATATCTCTTACACTTGCTTAGTACTCAGAAGACCATTCATATCGCGGGACGCCCCCTATCGGCACAGATCTATTACTAAAAATGAGACTGTTAGGCCAGGCGATTGTTTTTCGGTCCGGGTTGATTGCACACAGCAGACATCACATTATGTACGTGCGACCGGGGTTCGTTCATGCGTCTGGAGCCAGGTATACTGTAGGTTTCTGGGCCGAATCACTATGACACTATCCAATCTGTAACACCCTTAGCTGCCATACATAATCCTCCACGACATAACATCTCCCCCAAAGACAAGGGCTTTCGGCTCTTGCGAAAGAGGGCTTTACATTCTCGACACATAAGCAATGTCACAACATTACATGAGCTGCATATGCTCCAGCTGTTCTACAGTAGCGAGCCAAGTCAGCATAATCATCGGTAACTTATGATATCCTGCTCCAATCAAGAAACAGTGAATAATCTAAACTAGTCAGATTATCGTATATTCGAAATCCTGCTCCATTATGAATGTATCCAAGGAAACCCCAACACGTACAATAGGAAGCATCGGAGGTTCGCTCTCCAGATTAACGTCCAGGGTCGCTGGACATTCTACCTCTAAAAGCCAGTGAATGCTACTTTCAAGCTCCTCGACGAGATGGCATCGACGCGCTTCACAGCCGAAACTCTGTGCTAGAGTCACAAAGTCAGGGTTTTTTAAGCTGTGAAAATGCCACTCGGCCATTATAATAGGTTCGCTGATACTGAGTCATCATCTTTTGTTCCTCATTGTTGAAAATAATGACCTTTATCTTCACATTGTGCTGTGAGGCGGTTAAGAGCTCCTGCATTGTCATGCTAAATGACCCATCTCCGTCTATATTAATAACTTTGGAATCTGTACATCCTATCTTGGCACCAATAGCTGCAGGTACCCCAAATCCCATTGTCCCCAGATCGCCCGAGGTTATGAGCGTTCTAGGGGATCGCCAGCGATAGCATCGCGTCGCCCACATCTGGTGCTGACCCACTCCAGTGGTTACTATTGTTGGTACGGATGAAAGGTTGGTCTGTCGATTGACTTCTATTGGAACGTGCGAAGGTAGAATGTGCGCCGTCAAGTTTGGTGGCCTAGGGATACTGCCTCTTCCATGCTTGGATTTGCTTGAGCCATGCAACGTGATGGTTCCCTTTCCGTAAATGTAAGATCAACAGCGGCAAGGTATCATTTAAATCACCAAGCACAGCTTCTGTTACTTGAACAACCTTGTTGACGTTGTCGGGCTCGATATCGAATTGGATAATTCCACCCCGACTGTTCTGTTCTGCCTCCATAGCCTTCGGCGCGAACGATTCTAGGTCGCTTACTACCCGCTCGTCCAGTCGAGCTCCCAGGGCTAGTATAAGGTCTGCATTCTGCACCGCATAGTTTGCATATACTGCTCCGTGCGTTCCAACCATGTGGAGGGCTTCAGCCTTAAGTCTCGTCAAAGCCACCAAGCCCCAGCAGAGTGGTAGCGACAGGAATTTGTGCCAATTCTGACAGTTCGGAAATACGCGAAGGAGCTCTGGGGACATTCAATACTCCATGGCCAGCGATAATAACTGGCCGTTCGGCGGTGTTGATCAGTTTAGCTACCCGCTCAATGGTGCCTTGCAACAGCGTACAGGGGCTGGACTTCTGTACCATTCTTTCCCTACTTGCCCATTTCCGCAGTATACCTTTCGATGCCTTCTCGAATGCAGCATTGTCGAAAATAGCATTGCTCACATCGACAGGGATGGCAATGAGAACCGGTCCAGGCCACCCTCCCATGGGCTGCTCGAAAGCCATCTCTAACGACGAAGGGAAGGTCTTCTATCTTCTGCACAACAGTAACCCATTTAGTACAGGGTTTGGCGAGTGCTGGAACATCGATTTCTTGGAATGCATTGGTGCCTAGCGCATCGGTCGCAACCTGCCCGCAAATAACCACGATGGGATTTCCGTCCAATAACGCATTCAACATGGCCGTTGCTAAATTGGATGTCCCTGGACCGGATGTCACAAGAACTACTCCTGTTCGTCCTGTGGCTTGAGCGTAACCATCCGTCATGTGTCCTGCACCTTGTTCATGACGAGTAAGGATAAACTGTAACTTGTCGCTTCCATAGATTACATCAAGAAGCGTAAGTACAGCACCCCCTGGATAGCCGACTACATAGCAATAAGTACTCGGGAATGGCAAGGAAATAAAACAAATAGACTAAATAAATAGTGAGCTGAGCTCAGTGATGACTTACAAATATGTTCAACACCGTTATGGATCAATAACTGGTGAAATATGTCTCCACCCTTCATACCGATGAGCTTCTTGAGCATGGTCTGTAAACTTTTGTTTGGCTCGCGACATGATTGTTAAAAGTTATGTCTGAGTGTGACAACCTCTTGCCGAATATCATACCATCTGCCCTTTTTGTTCTTTCTCCGGCTTATCATAACCATGACTTAATTCTATTCTATAAACCAAACTGTATCTAGATATACTTTACCTTCTACTCTGTCTATACTGGATCCCACGCATTATGATGGAGCTGTCAACTGCGGTCCACGATAGATGCACTGATACAGCACAACAGTCCAAATCACGTTGAAGGCCGCGCGCATAGTTCGGAATGTGACGGATTAGGAGCTGTCATGTTCCACAATTACGTTTACGATTGACAGCGCATGCCGATGCAACATGGCTGAAAACGGCCCACGTTGACTTGCTACTCCGTTATAATGACAATAACTATGATATAATGGTGTCTCCTCACAGATCATACCTTCCAGATTCCTGATTAAGTTAGAAAACCAATGTCAAGACTCGGCCGAAGGAAAAAGTTCAATATCTTCTACAATATACGCCTCCCCCACACCAATCTAACATTGGAACGATAAGATCCTAGCAAATAGATATAATTTTATGGGCTTGACACCAATTTGTACCGGTCACTAAATTAAAGCAACCTAATACTCTAACTACATACAATACAGTCCGGTGAATCAGCGAAACAAATGTGATATAGACATAAGAACTCTATGATCACTAGTACTCTAGTCGATACGCTTCTAGAATGCAAGGGCATCCTCAAAACCTATTACGGTTGGCAGTGTATTTCCAAGGATGGCATATATTGACAAAGAAAGGGTTGACCCAAACGAGGCAATCTAACTATAGTTACTTATCTTTTGTCCTATCTACGAATAGGAACTAACTATTGAAGCATTCAAGTCACTATGTTTTACCTTTGAGAGTCCAAGCGGGTCTACTACCTACTATTTGGGTAAACCTATTAACCACCAGGTATGCCAAGCCGACCCCAGGCGCATGGAATTGGAACCAAGCCTGCAATTTTAGGTTCGGATTTAACAGCGGTCACTACAAACCTTGTGTTCTATGATACTTTCTATTCGGAATTCATTCCGAATGTGACGCTCGATACTTTTCTGACACACCCTCGATTCAAAAACAACAAGCAACACAACATTCAACATTCTCCTGTTCAGATGGTTGATAACGTGGGATGTATCACGCAGCACTTTGACCCTCTTCATACCACTCAAGTGCAACTAGTTAGAGCAAAGTTAACGATATGTAAGCGCCACGCTATGGGTGAACAAGAGCGTACATTTGTCTGGTATTGTCCAAATCCGACACATCTAGAGAATGTAATCCTAAAAGGTCTAGCTTCCAAAACATGTGGTCTATTGATACCCAATCCGACTCACGAAGCTTGTATAGTGGTGATGTCAACGAGAATTTTCTCATAGGACTTCGTGGAATTATTCTCCATTTAGGCTTTCCTATTCAGCCGGTCAGAAATTGTAGATATGGCGAACCATGGGGGAAAACATCGAGATGAATCACTACATGATGAGGAATGATGTATCCATATCCGTATGTGCCGGGATAAGTGGGTATAAAAGAGGGAAATATTCCCAGTGTATGAAATTAACCCTGTGTCTGAGTTTGAGTCAGTGACACAATAACAAGCACAGTTCTTCCCAACCGGACCTCGTCCTCTAAGCATTACAATGCACTATATTCAGCTTTTGGTTTCCACCCTTGCAGCTTTTCCCGCTGCTCTTGCCCTAGACGTTGACCTGGTACGCGATTAAGACCGCTGTATATTTTTGAGTTTCGAATTTACTAAGAATGATCAATAGGCATTAATTTATGCCGGTAATTACGTACAGCCGATTAGCTCCTCTTATGCTACAGCATGTGTACCATTTAATTAGTACGTTTTGAGGTGCAGTGAGCTGGACAGAAAGACTAACATATGATTTTTAGTCCTGAACCAGCAGAATATATAAAAGTGAACCCTCGCGGTTTGGTGGGCGCCGACATATCCTGTGATCTCTACGAGTATGTCAAGAACTGAATTAGAGAAACATGTGCTAATCGGACGTACTACAGCAACCCTTTCTGCCGTGGATCACCGGTTCTCCCTAATGTCCATGGTGGAAAGAACCTCGAAGGCGATGATATTGTTGCGGCAAGATGCTTCTTACGCCCAATTGACATGTGATTGCCTCCTTCTACCTCGGAGCAACATCTTCTAGCAGCCGGAAAGATGAAGTCTTTAATTAGGAGTGGTAATGTATGTGAATCAAGATTAGGTCTCAGTATAGGTCTTTTTATACTGCTGCTTTTAGAGGAATTTTTTCCCTATACTTGAGTGCAAATGCAGAGACCATCCACTGTTTTATCTCAACTCCGCTTAGTGTGTTCAATTTAGATGAATCATCTTGAAATAAGCCTGACGACTCTCTCGGTATAGGCCCTTAAGCACCATGTATGACTACATGTAATACTAACTTTGGCAAGCCAGCAAAATCAATTCGGGGGAACATCAAAATCAACACCCAATCTAAACACGTCATTTTAACGCGTCAATCGATCGAGAAAGGCCCCCTGAGGCCTCAGGAACCGCTATGGAGGCCCCAAACCCCCATGGTGGTGGTCTACCGAACGCGTCGAGATGGGCACCCCCGAGCGGGATACCACCACCACCGTCACCACCATCACCAACACCGATATATCGAGGGGGCCCTAGGACCCTAGATATACCCATAGATCTGGGACAGATAAGCTACAGCGAATCTAGCAGGGCCCCAAGCAGGGCCTCTAGCAGAA